GCCCACTGCCGGGTGGGGACAGCAATGACGGAAAGAGCTGTTCCTCCTGTCTGCGCTGAGGCTTAGCCCAGCTCTGGCACAGCCATGGGGGCTCAGCTTCGGCTCAGAGGAGGGCTGGCTGGTCTGTCCTGCCTGAAGGATGTGGCTGCGGTGCTGCCTGGAATGTGGCGTGAGCCCCCGTGTGAAACCTGCTGCTGCCCTCAGGTCCGCCGCCTCAGGCCATGACAGGGAGCCCAGGAGGGCCCTCGGACAGACGTGCGGGGAATGGGTCCCGGGAGTGAGCCCGGCCAGCCCGCGGCTACACCACAGGCACGGAGCTCGGACCTCTAAGACCTTTGCTAAGAATAGTTACAAAATTGAGAGAAAGGTACAGAAATTTCCTATATTCTCCCCAACCCCACACACACCCTCCGTGTTCTCAGCCTCACTCACCGGCGGGACACTTGTCACAGCCGATGAGCCTGTGCTGATGTGCTGTCCCCGAGCCCCCTGTGCTGGGCGTCCTGGGTGTGGACAGGTGTGTGGTGTCATGTGCCCATCCTATGGGGTCGCACTGAGGGGCTCACACCTGGAAAGCCCCTGTGCGTCTGCGCATCCCTCCCTCCCCGCCCCCTGAAACCGGAGGGCAGGGTGTTGGAATCGCCCTGTGCAGGGGCTGCACGCCTCCCGGCTCCCCTTAGCGACAGCCCCTCCTGAGTGAGGACCGACCGCCTCTCGGTCGAGGGAGCGCAGCGCCGTCACCAGCTGAAGGGCCTCGGCGGGTGAGGCCTCCGTCAGCATTCACACGTCCATGTCCACCTCTTGGCTGAAGACCAGGGAGCGTGGCTGCTGGGCTGGTGGAGAGCCGTTCGTTGTATGAGCATCAGCCCGCAGTGCCATGCACCGCCGCATCCCAGTGCAAGCGAGGCTCCGCCGCTCAGTCCGCCAGGCAGGTGGTGTCTCCGCGTTTGGTCTGTCCCCGGTGAGCTCGGTCTGTGCATCGTCCTTGGTGAGGCGGGTGCCAGGGTCTCGGGTAGCACCTTGGAGGCTGAGGAGCCGCCCCTGTGGGCACATCGTGACTGCCTGGCGCTGTGGACGTGACCTTGGGAGTGCGGCCAGCCCTCTGCTGCCCCGCGACCTCCCCGGGCTCAGTGGGCACAGCGCTCAGGTCCCCGGTGATCAGGCTCCCTCAGCTTCCCCGCCCCAAGGGAGGCCTGGCTCGTGGTGCCCATTCGTCTGAGCAAGACGGTCAATGGGACAGCAGGACTCGGCGTCCTCTGAGGGAGTTTCCCTTCGCCGGGTTTTTAAGTTTCTGTTACCGACTGACACCGGCCAAAGGGTGGGTTATTGCCACTCAGTGTATACAAGTGTGCCTGGTGTCTATGTGAGTGTGTGATGGGCTGGAGTTTGACCTCCTGGAAATGAAAAGTTATGTTCTCTAAAGACATCATTGAGAGAATGAAAGGGAAGCCCCAGAATTAAGAAACTATTCCTAGTCCATATGTTTGAAAAGGAAGTTGTAGTCAGAATGGGTAAAGAATTCTTACAACCCAATCCAAGTTCTTTAAAAAGGGGCCAGAACGAAGACCGGAGCTTCACAGGGAAGTGCTGTGAATGCAAAAGGGCACAGGAGAAGATGCCCGGAGAAGCCACGGAGAGTCACGTCTGCACACCCACTGGGGCCACGCTAGTGCTGAGCAATGGCCCACAGAGCCGCTAGGATGCATGCTTGGCTTCCGGGATAAAATGGCAGGTACTGCAGAGGCTGTTTGCAGTTTCCCACTGATATGTAACGAGTGCGACCTCACCACATGGCCGCCCGCTCCCGGTAGTTCCCCGGGAAACAGAAGCATGTCCTCTGAGGAGAGAAAGCAGCCGGTGCTCATCGCCAGGTGAGTCAGAGAGTAATGGGACATGTGTAGCCATGAAGTGGACACGCAGCCACATGGCTGAGTCTCAAGCATGTGGCGGCCTCGCTGTCCCCCGCCCATCTGGAGCTCCGGGACAGGCTGCCCTGAGCCCAGAGGCGCGGGAGCGGGCTGGGCGGATGGACATGCTAGGAAACCATACGTCGTCATTATGCATGTCTGTGACTTCCCACCATGCAGGCCCTCCCCCGGGACCTGTGCACTTGAAGAGAGAACCTGGGAAGGCCCAGCAAGGAGGGGCGCCACCCTCGGCATGTTCTGTAGGCGGCGCTTGTTGGTAAGGCCCCTGGCCGTCGTTTCCCACTGAGCATGGCTGTGGGGTTCTCAGGAGACCAAGCCGATCCAGCCAGGAGCGAACTCTGCACCAGAGCCCGCCTTCTATGTGTGTCCCACTGCGTTGGGAGACAGGCCTCTGTGGCCTCCTATCGATGTGACCTGTATGCACGTCTGTCTGTGGCTGCCAGCGGGGCTGGGCTGGGCTGGCTGGCCCTCCGCCCTGCGGTCTGTCCTCGCCGCCCGTGGCTGCAGCACCAGGGACAGCGCCAGCCCATAGCCGCGGGCTGTGGCCCTTGGGCCTCTGCTGCTTCCGCCCTGTGGGAGCCTCTAAGAGAAGTGGGCGCTGCCCGTGCTGGTCCGGGTCTGCGGGCTCCTCACCCTCCGAATGAGAAGCCAGGCCCTCACAGCCTCCCGGAGACCTGCTGGGGGTAAGATCTCAGTGGACAGCGCTGCTCACACTGTGAGGTCGTAGGAGGTGGAGACCCGCCTTTTGCTCCTTCCCCACACGCCCGGGAGGGGGCATGGCCGGCCTTGCTGTGGTGCCTGTGTTCCCTCCCCTTTCGAGCTTCTTAGGGCAGCGGCCTTGTTTTGTGCGTTTGTGATCAGTGGGTCGCGGCCAACGGCACCCACTCCAAACAGCACCAAGTCCTGGCAGATGTCTCCTCGGCTCCGGGCCTCAGAGCCACAGAGCCTCTCAGGCAGACGCTGTGAGCGGAGCCCTTCCATTGTGACAGGGACAGGCTCGCCGCGTCCCCTGGAGTAACGGCTGCGCCCAGGCCTCGCCCCTTAGCTGACCCAGAGCGGCTGGGACCTCGTGCTGCCCGGGTGCTGAGCCTCCGCTGGATCCTTCCTCGGCCCTCGCACCCTGGAGCCCCCGAGCTCAGACACCACCGCTGCGCTGTGTGGCCCGCGGCCAGACTAAGGCACTGGCAGGTCGTTGAAGGCAGTTCCATTTGGAAACGTGGTGCTCCTGTCGGGGCTGATGGCACGTCCTGTCGCTCAGTAAAGCCAGAAAAGGAACTTACAGCGGTTTGAAAAGCAGCCCTGAGCCTGGGCACGCCCTCCAGGCCTGACGGCAGGGTTTGCCCGGGGCTTTGCCGGCGAAACCCCGAGGCGTCGTGGCGTCGTTGGCACCACTTCCCCTGGCCGTTGCTTCGGCACCCTCCCGTCTCCCCTCCTCAGACGGAGGAGTGTGGGTCTGCACCTCAGTCGGTGCAGGTGCAGGTGCAGGTGTGTGCGCCGGCATGCCACTGGGTCCCCCGCCCCCTCATTTCTCTTCACCTCTGCAGGAGCCGGAGGGGACAGGCCTCACTCACTGTCCCAGAGCTCAGCCCAGCATCTCGTGTGGGTGCCGTTGTCCCCCATCTTGGTGGCTTCTCTTCCCCGGCTCCCCCCGGAGGGCTGTGTCGCCATCTTCCAGGAAATGGTGCTTTCTGAGCTCCCGGCTGTGCCCACCAGACCCAGCCCTGGGGGCAGGGGCAGGAGGGTGAGGGAGAGGAGAGGGGAGGGGAGGGGAGGGGAGGGGAGACGAGAGGAGAGGAGAGGAGAGGCGAGGCACTTCCTGGGTATTGCTTCCACCCGGTGGGCGGGAGCCCACCTCTAGTGGAATGATTATGCCTTGCTTTGGTCTTACCATCCTTTTATTCAGGTTTGGGACATACCCATCACCCTTAGGCAGGCAGATTATCTTATCAGTAAGGGTTTACAGGATTATTTGGTGAGGAAGTTGCCTCAGTTACCATTGTCTCAGTTAGGAAGTGGTTGGCTCTGACCTTTCAAAGCTTCCAGGTTGACCAGCTTTCCACATCTTTCTATTAGTGAGACCACGATCGGTTTCCGGCCACGTGGCCTGTGGAGAAGGCCAGCCCAGGCCCAGGGAAGGGCAAGAGAAAACCCAGAGGGCGTCCTGGGGCCATGGGGCAGGTGTTTCAGAGTGGGAGGGGCTTGGGCTGCAGAGTAGGCGGGGTGTGAGCTGCGGAGTGGGCCTCGTTTTATCTTCATATCTTCCTCCCACCCTGTCCCTGCACCAGCGGTCCGACCCTTCGGAGCCTGTTCCTCCCCCTCCGCTGCAGCTGGGACTCAGCTCCTTGCAGAGCTCCAGTCGTTGGTCCGAACTAAGTTCTCAGAAGACCCTGGGGCTGTGCTCTTCACTGCCTACCTGTCTGCCTGCCTGGAGGCGTTGGCTCCGGGGCCATCCCCGGCTGCACCAGCAGTAAGACTGGCAGGCATGGCCAGAGTGGAAAGGGCCAGAGACCAGAACTCGGCGTGTTCCGACAGGGGCTGCTTGGGCCCGGCCATCGGAGTCCCTGCGAGGGTGCAGGTCAGCGCGTGGGGACCCGCTGCAGGGAGCCGGACAGCAGCTCCGTTACTGTCAGGGTCTTCATCCCCGCATCCCGTCCCGAAGGCTTCCCGCTGCCCAGTCCGGTGCCCGGCAGCCCTGTGCCCGGTCCCTCCCAGCCACGCACCAGGGGCGTGAGGGGTCCAGCTTGCTTCTCCCATGTGGACCTCAGCACCACATGGGGGCCCTCGAGGGCCTGTGACAGGATGCCCTGCAGGTGCGGGCAGGACGGTGCGGGACGCATGGACATGTGGACACCCTGTTCTCTGCTGCACAGCCGGTGTCCTCGGCAGCTCCGCCAGGACGCGGAATGGCTCCTGTGCGCCGTCTGCCTGGAGTTGGCTCAGAGACGCCATCTCTGTGCCGCCGCCTGCTCGGGGCCTCGGAGGCAGGATTCACAGCTGTGCCACGTGCCACCCCAAAGAGGGCGTGTTCCCGACACCCCGCACTCAGGCCTGACCCTGTGTCTCTGCCCACAGCTCTGCCGCCGGGAGCGCCACCTGTCCGCGGGGCAGTACCAGGGCACACTGTTCGCCGACCAGCCCACGATGTTCATCTCCCCGGCCAGCGACCCCCCCAGAGCCAAGCTGTGGGAACTGGTCCTCCTGTGCGGGGGCCGGGTCACGGGGGTCCCTCGCCAGGCCAGCCTCTTCATCGGGCCCTGCCAGGGGAGGAGGAAGGAGGCCGTCACCTACCTGTCGGAGAAGTGGATCCTCGGTAGGAACCTGCGCGGGGGTTTGGGGGACACGCGGAGGTCAGGGGGCATCTTACGGCAGGCTCGGGGACAGCCGGGGTTCTGGGGGCGCAGGGAGGTGTGTGGGGGGGCTCTTCTGTCTGCAGGTTCAGGGACAGCCGGGGTTCTGGGGGCGCGGGGAGGTCAGGGACAGCCGGGGTTCTGGGGGCGCAGGGAGGTCAGGGACAGCCGGGGTTCTGGGGGCGCAGGGAGGTCAGGGACAGCTGGGGTTCTGGGGGGGCAGGGAGGTCGGGGGGCACCTGACGGCAGGCTCAGGGAGGGGGGACATGTGGTCTTCCTGGGCCGGGGGTGCTTGACGTGCTGGCCCGCGGCTCCCACTCCCTCACCCGCGTGGATGTCACCCACGTGGCCCGTTTGGTGGTCTGAGGAGCGAAGCCAGTAGCTCCGACGGCTCCCGTGGCTGCCGAGCGTGGGGTGCGTGTGCCTGATTTACATGCTGTGGCCGCGGGGGCGAGGGGAGAGGGCGGCACTAGGCCCCGCAGACCTCACAGGCGGCTCACGCTCGTACAGAAAGGGGACGGCTTCTGTGCGCTGGCCACTGACCCACCCACCTGCCCTCTCTCCGCAGACTCGGTCACCCAGCACACGGTGTGCGCCTGCGAGGACTACCTGCTGCGGCCGTGAGGGCCCTCCCGCCCCAGGCGGCTCCATCGACGCTCCGGAGACGGCCCCCAGAGGGCATCCACACTGCAGCGAGCCTGGGCGTGGCTCCCCCCACAGCCTGCCTCCCGCGCTCCGCGCCTGGGAAGCTGGCCTGCCGGGGCGTCTGTGTCTGGAGTGGCCGACCAGACCCCCCAGGCCTTTCTCTTCTGGTGAATAAAGATGGGGATCGTTTCCTGGTCTCCTTGCAGAGAGTGGTCGTGCCCTCAGTTCCACCAGACACTGGTCTTTCTGGCCACCGTCCGCCGGAGATGGCCGCGCTGTCCCCGGTCCAGGTGCTGGTTGTGCAGTGAGACTCAGGGTTAGGTTAGCGGTGCGGGGCCGGAGCAGGGAGTCCCCCACGCTGCCCTCGGGCTGCTGTCCCGGATGGAACTGGCCGCTGCCCGGGCACCTGCTGAGGGGGCAGGAGGGTGGCTGCTGGTGTAGCTATCACCCCCCCCACCTCCCCCTGAGTTCAAGTCCCCTGACGTCACAATGGTCAGCTCCTGAGGGGCACCTGCCAGAGTCCAGGTCGAGATGCAGGACAATAATGAGGGCTTTCTCTTGGATTTAAAACTGTGTCCGACACAGGCAGTGCTCTCACGGCGCCCTCCCCCCCATTCACTGCGCCCCCTGGTTCACAGCGCCCGGCCCGGCCCTGGAAGTGCCTTTAACCTCCCGTCCTCCTGGCAGTGCCCAGGGGAGCCTGCCCCAGGTCCGGGCTCAGGAGGGGGTCTGTAGGCTCCCACAGGTGGCTCTCACTGTCCTCCTTGGATCCCAGGCAGATTAGAAATGCAGAAGTAAAACTGCTCTCAGGTCACATGGCATGGTATGTAAAATAGATAAGGAATCAAGGAAAAAATAATCTTTAACAAGATTACAAGATACAAAAACCAATATACCAAACTAAGTTAATTGTATTACTATATATGTTATCCATAACCAGTTTGAAAATGGAAGAATACAATTCGTTTATAACAACACCTAAAAACTAACTAGGAATAAATGTAACAGAAGTACGGGAACCTGTGAAGCCTGCTAAGAGAGACTGAGGGCCTGACAGACGGGGGAAAGTGCCATGTCCTGTTTGAGAAGACAGCTCCCAAGCTGGCCGATGGAGCAGGGTAACCACCGCGGCAGGTCGCCGGGCAAAAACCAATAAAAACGGCCTTGGAGCAGCGGACCTCTCGGGCCCCGTGTCTGCCGGCCACCGGCTGGACCTCGTGGGCCCCGTGTCTGCCGGCCACCGGCTGGGCCTCTCGGGCCCCGTGTCTGCCGGCCACCCGCTGGGCCTCGCGGGCCCCGTGTCTGCCGGCCACCGGCTGGGCCTCGTGGACCCCATGTCTGCCGGCCACCGGCTGGGCCTCGTGGACCCCATGTCTGCCGGCCACCGGCTGGGCCTCTCGGGCTCCGTGTCTGCCGGCCACCGGCTGGGCCTCGCGGACACCGTGTCTGCCGGCCACCGGCTGGGCCTCGCGGACACCGTGTCTGCCGGCCACCGGCTGGGCCTCGCGGACACCGTGTCTGCCAGCCACCAGCTGGGCCTCTCGGACCCGGTGTTAGCCGGCCACCAGCTGGACCTCTCGGGCCCCGTGTCTGCCGGCCACCGGCTGGGCCTCTCGGACCCAGTGTCTGCCGGCCACCGGCTGGGCCTCTCGGACCCGGTGTTTGCCGGCCACCGGCTGGGCCTCTCGGACCCGGTGTTTGCAGGCCACCGGCTGGGCCTCTCGGACCCGGTGTTTGCCGGCCACCGGCTGGGCCACTGCCTGGAGGACAGGTCCCAGGTGGACACGGACGTCCTTCCATAGGCGGCAGCGCGCACGTTCCTCCCAGCAGCCTGGCTCCTCTCGGCAGGTCGTGAGCCGCGGCTGGTCTCGGTAACGTGTGTGTGCAGATGGAAATCAGCAGGTCTCTCTCCACGGCCCCTCCCGGTCCTTCCTCTCTGAGCGTGCCCTTAGGAGAGAGGGTTAGGGCTGGCCACGGCGTGGTTTGCAGGGAAGCCCGGGGCAGTGGCAGGCCCAGCCTGGGGATTACCTGCCAGCCGGGCCCATGAGCAGGCCAGTGCCCGCAGCGGCTGAGATGGTCTCGGAGACGGAGCCCGTGACGGGGCGCGTGTACTCTGAAGGCGGCAGGGAGGCTGCCGTCAGAGCTGCCCAGGCCCTGTGTGGAGGTGGCAGGCGGGAGGCGCCCTGGAAGCCGAGGGGCTGGCCTGGGACGGACTGTGTGGCAGTGGTCAGCAGCGCTGCTGTCGTTTGAAGAGAAAGACTCATCACTTCCTGTTGGAAACGGTCGCCGTCCGAGCCTCACGCCGGCTCCTTCCAGGTGCTGGGCCTCCCCTGGCCGAGGTCCTTCCACCCCAGGCCTGGCTTCTCTGTCTCCATAGGCAGGGACCCCGGCTCGGACCTGCCCTGCTCGGAGCGCTTTGCAAATGAAGCAGGCCCAGCCTCCTGGGCTGCCTTCCCTCCCGCTCCCCTTCCCCCTTCCTCCTCCTCCCTTCGCTGCATCTTCTTGAGCTGAGCTCCACTCGTCTCCATGTGTGTCTGTGTTCAGCCCGTTCCTTCACCCTCCCGCCTGCTTAGCCCCTTCCTTTCTGGAGGCCAGAGCGGGTTCCTCAGCTTCCCACCCCCTGCGGGCAGGGTGGGCAGGTGCGGGCTCCATCCCCTGTGAGTCAGTGAGTCTCTGCCATCATTGATGTTTCTCTCTCTCCCTCTCCATCCTTTCTGGAATCAATAGAAAATATATTTTTAAATAATAAACAATCAAAACCATGAAGACAGGGTGATTTTTTACTTACAGCTATTGCGTGTTCAATCATTGCTTAACTTCTCGGTCCTCCGGTCACGGGATGCACGCGTGTAGAGGCTCTGTGGCTGTGGCTCAAGCCCAGGCCCGCTCCCAGCTTGTGTCTCCATGGAGGACGGTGGGTCTGTTTTCTGCGCCGGGAGGACAGATCTCAGTTTGTCACAGGAGCGGCTCCCGAGACGAGGATGGAAGTGACGGAGTGGAGGAGCAGACACGCATGCTGGTTGGCGGCCGGGAGTGTGATGGCTGCATCCTGCCTGGTCATTAGCGTCAGTGTTTCGAAGCCTCGGCCCCCATCCCGTGCCCCCTCCCCGCTCCAGGACGCTGGCCATCGTCTCTGTTCTGCTTTCACTTCGAACAGCCTCTGTGGGGCGGCAGTTCATGTCTTCAACACCCGGAGGAGAGTCACCGGAAACAAGCTAACTCCCCTCCTGCGCCAGCTTGCAGGGGAAGGAGGAATCCATCCTGGACTCCCCAGCTGTCTCCCTCTGTCCCTGTCACCGTGAACGCAGCGCACAGGAGGGAAGGGGGGCGCTGAAACCCGCTGCTCACTGGGGACCACGAGGCATCCTGAGTGTGAACAGCTGGGCAGCCGGAGGGCAGGGCTCGGCCGGAGCCTGGTTCTGGTTCTGGTTCTGATTTTGGTTCTGGGGCCTCAGGAAGGGACGGGACTGGAAGTGGAGGCTCAGGCAGCCCTCCTAGAGTGCTGGGTGGCCACTCCCCTCCGTCTGCCTGCAAGGGGCCTGCAGCGGTCACGTTCCCAGCACGCCCTCCTGCGGTGACTGGCTCCGGGGCCCCTTGTAAGGCCCTCAGGTCCCCGCTTAGACCCACAGGAAGCAGTGTGCCCAGGCTCTGCCTGCTCCCTGGCTGAGGGCAGGAGGTGGGCAGAACCGCCTGGACCCTGAACTTAGGGACAAGGAGGAGGGGTTCTCAGTGCTGGGCCCAACCCCCACCCCCACTCCCGTCCGCCGGAATCCACGCCTGCGCCCCCTCCTTCCCCTGAAATACACGCCTGTGCTGCCGCCTCCCCCTGAAGTCCATGCTGGGACTCGGCATTACAGCCACGTTGGACTTCCTGGCCCAGGGACATCTCTGTAACTGCAGTTCCTGAGGGCGAGGGGAGGAGGTGCTGGTTGGCCCTGCTAAGCACAGGCCCGCTCTCGGGGTGGGCACCAGCCCTGGGGGGGAAAGGGGGTGCAGGGCCAGGAAGCAGGTCCTTGGGGAGCGCCTGCTCCAGGTGCACCAGCGGGCGGAGGAGCCGAGGTGGCTGATCGTAGCTTCGGAGGAAAGTGGAGGGGTAGGTGCAGCCACTTTGGTCACCACCTGCCGCTCTCAGACCCAGTGCTAATTCCCAGATTGTCGGGATTCTCTCATCACATCCATGGCTTCTGCCCAGCAGGCAGCGACCCCTCGATCCCTCGGGTAAAACCAGCCGAGGAGTTAACAGGGTGCCTGCAGCTGCGAGTGAAGTGGGCAATGCTCAAGGTCACCAATAGAACCCCCTCCCCAAAACCCACACACATCATGGTGAGCAAAGTCAGCGTCCTGAGAGCCAGCCCTCCCCCCCCCCCCAAGCCAGGCCGCGTCCCAGTGAAGCCATGAGGGGGGCTGGCGGGAGGAGGCGGATTCTCGGGGGCTCACAGCAGAGCCTCGCCAAGCTGAAATGGCCCTTTCCTGAGCCGTCACGTCTAATCCATCTGCCACTCCAAGGGAGACCAACGTGTCGCGTTCCCTGAATTCCCCTTGAGCCCGGCTCACCAAACCCTTCCTGAGCTCAGTCCTTGGTCTGGAAGTCTTCCAGAACCATCTCTGTTTGCTTGTCCTGTCACAGCACGCAGCACACTCACCCGGAGATGTCCCTGCGAAGCCTCAGCTCCCTGAGCCCTGGGGGGCCTGGGGCTGGGCCTGGGAGGCTGAGGGCCTGGGGCTGGGCCTGGGGGGCTGAGGGGCTGGGGGGCCTGGGCCTGGGGGCTGGAGGCCTGGGGTCAGCGGTGTCTCTCTCTGTGTCTATCCTTTCCCTTCCTCTCTCTCTGAACTCAGTAAAAACCTATGAAGGAAAGAAAAAAGCCATGTCCAAGCTGCTGGCGGGGAAGGTGGGCGCGGCCGCTCCCCGGAAGCAGCAGGGACTGGCACACATGGAGCGATGCTCACCCTCCCTGCACTGCGGGGCGGGCAGCGGGGCTCCGAGTCAGGGACGGTGTGGGAGGCCCAGAACCCCATGCCAGCGCGGCTTCTCTCCACTTAGTTGGCGCGGAAAAGCACCAGAAGTTTCTGAGCAGGAAACCGTGTGATCCCAAGCGTTTTGGGGGATTGTGATCATCTGACAGGAGTGTGGGCTCACCTGTCACCCTGCCAAGCTATGGCAATGCTGTTGACTCTGGTCCCCTTCGCCTCCTCTTTGTTTAATATATTTTTACTGATTTCAGAGAGGGAGACAGAGACAGAAACATCAATGATGAGAGAGAGTCATGTGTTCTGACTGCGAATGGAACCCTGGCCTCCTGATTCCTAGATCAATGCTCAACCACCGAGCCACACCCGCCGGGTGCCCATGCCTCTCCCCTCCAGCAGCATTCCATTTAGTCTGTTCCTATGTCTGCTTTTGTTTATTTGTTTTGCTTTTTTTTTTTTTTTTTTTTTTTTTGCTTCTGCACCGAGAAGAAAACCATCACCAAACGAAAAGGGGAGCTGCTGAGTGGGCAGGATGTCCCCGAGGATGGTAGAGGAATAGATGAGGAGCTCAGACAACTCCGGAGCAAGAAACAAGTGATCCAATGGAAAGTGGGCAGAGGACATGGAGGAGGACAGGCAGACAGCTGTCAGACGTACACAGAGATGCTCAGTGTCACTCAAACC